GGGATGGGGGATGGAAATTGGGATGGGGGATGGAAACTGGGATTTGGGATGGAAACTGGGATTTGGGATGGAAACTGGGATTTGGGATGGAAACTGGGATGGGGGATGGAAACTGGGATTTGGGATGGGAGCTGGGATGGGGGATAGGAACTGGGATTTTGGCTGAAATCTGGGATCTGGGGCTGAAATCCCGGGATCTGGGGCTGGAATCTGGGATTTCGGGATGAAATCTGACATTTCGGGATGAAATCTGGGATTTTGGGCTGAAATCCTGGGATCTCGGGCTGGAATCTGGGATTTTGGGATGAAATGTCAGGCTGAAATCCTGGGGTTTCAGGCTAAAATCCTGGAATTTGGGGCTGAAATTCCTGGGATTTTGGGGCTGAAATCCTGGGATTTCAGGTTGAAAACCTGGAATTTTAGGCTGAAATTCCTGGGGTTTCCGGCTGAAATTTTAGGCGGAAATCCTGGAATTTTGGGGAGAAAATCCTGAGATTTCGGGCTGAAATCCTGGAATTTTAGGGTGGAACTCCTGGCTTTTTGGGCTGAAATGCTGGTTTTTGGGGTGAAATGCTGTTTTTTGGGGTGAAATGCTGTTTTTTGGGGTGCAATGCTGGGTTTTTGGGGTCAGATTCTGTTTTTTGGGGTGAAATGCTGTTTTTTGGGGTGAAATGCTGTTTTTTGGGGTGAAATGCTGGGTTTTTGGGCTGAAGTGCTGGTTTTTGGGGGGAAATGCTGTTTTTTGGGGTGAAATGCTGTTTTTTGGGGTGAAATGCGGGGTTTTTGGGGTCAGATGCTGGGTTTTTGGGGTGCAATGCTGGGTTTTTGGGGTGCAATGCTGGGTTTTTGGGGGGAAATGCTGTTTTTTGGGGTGCAATGCTGGTTTTTGGGGTGCAATGCTGGGTTTTTGGGGTCAGATTCTGTTTTTTGGGGTGAAATGCGGGTTTTTTGGGGTGAAATGCGGGGTTTTTGGGGTGAAACGCTGGGTTTTTGGGGTGAAACGCTGGGTTTTTGGGGTGCAATGCTGGATTTTTGGGGTGAAACGCTGGGTTTTTGGGGTGAAATGCGGG